CACACACACACACACACACACACACACACACACAGGACAACAATCTGTTAGTTTCACTTAAAGCTCTGAAATGATAAAAAGTCAATAAAAGCAGAAACAGTTTCTAATGTGAGTTTTTCTGATTTGTTTTATTTTCTGTGACTTTCATTTCTCTGTCCTTCAACACCTGTTCTGTCAGATCTCTAACAGAACAGGTCCAAACACCTGGTCCTGGTCCAGGTCCTGGTCCAGGCTGAGCTCACCTTGCTGGTCAGCTGCAGCGTTGTGAGACACCAGAGCAGAGACTGCTGGGAAAGTGATGGAGGACATGGCCGCAAGAGTCCCTGCAGCCCACATCATCCTGAGGAGGAGAGACCAGAACCAGTGAGGACCGAGACCTGCAGAAACAGGAGCTAAAAGCTAACAGCAGCTAAAAGCTAACAGCAGCTGAAAGCAGACTCACCACGGCTCGGAGCCGAAGGCGTACCACAGCAGCTGGAGGATCTGGAAGCCCAGGCCCAGCAGAACCGTGTTCTTCTTACCGATGGTCCTCATTAAAACACTGAGGAGGAGAGTCTGAGACACACAAACACTGTGAGCAACTCCTCCTCATCCTCACCCTGAGTGACCTTCATCCTTCAGCAAACAGCTGAACCTTCTGAACCATGCAGGACCCAAACTGACAGCAGTATACATAAATAAATAAATAAATAAATAAAAAGGTAAAATGCACCTGTTAATTAAAAAAGCAGAACTTTACTTCATGTTTTATCATTTATTTATTTGACCTTCACATTTATTTTTCCAGCTTTGTTCTAATAAATTATATATTTTAAAACATAATATATATTTTACTGTTTTTAAAAATATATAATAATTTATTATCATTTTTACCACCAGTGTTTTTACTTCCATGTGTTGTTTCTACATTTCCTTTTGCATTTCTGCCTCATTATGTAAACAAGGTGGGCGGAGCTTCTTGGGTCAGCTCCTCTCCTATTGGTCAACAGACAGGAAGTAGCAGGATCCATGTGTAGATCTACTGAGCTGCTGCTGCCTCAGTTTAAAGTCTAGTTAAAAACAAAGACACAAGTCAGTGTTTTCCTTCTTGTCTTTGTTTTAAACTAAACTAAACTTTAATCTAAACTGATGCAGCAGCAACATGAACACCTGATTTATTTATTTATTTATTTATTTATTGGTCCGTTTATAGATTTCTGTCTTTATTTCTGTTATGTCATATCAGTCCTCCACACTGAACACCAAACATCAAAGATGCTACTTCATTTACAGCCAACTAACTTGCAGAGAGTTTGTTTGTGTGTGTGTGTGTGTGTACCTGAGCGATGATGGACAGGATTCCCACCATGGCGATGAAGCCAGCGATGGCTCCAGAAGAAAACTGGATCATCTGCAACAGAAAAACAAAGAGCTGCTGATGATGGAGACACTCAGAACACACGTTCCACCGCTGTCCACACCTGTGTGTGTGTGTGTGTGTGTGTGTGTGTGTGTGTGTTACCTGCTTCAGGTAGAGGAAGAAGCTGGAGTACTGTCCAGCTTCAGGCAGGTAGGACAGGAAGACAGTGACACAGATCAGCAGCACCGTGGAGTCTTTACCAACACGACGCAGCGACTGAAAACCATCAGAACCAGTCGATCAACCATCAACCAACCAGTCAGTCAGTCAATCAGTCAATCAGTCAGTCAGTCAGTCAGTGAATCAGTGAGTCAGTCAGTGAATCAGTGAGTCAGTCAGTGAATCAGTGAGTCAGTCAGTGAATCAGTGAGTCAGTCAGTGAATCAGTGAGTCAGTGAATCAGTCAGTCAGTCAGTGAATCAGTCAGTCAGTCAGTGAATCAGTCAGTCAGTGAATCAGTGAGTCAGTCAGTGAATCAGTCAGTCAGTCAGTGAATCAGTCAGTCAGTCAGTGAATCAGTCAGTCAGTCAGTGAATCAGTCAGTGAATCAGTCAGTCAGTCAGTGATTCAGTCAGTCAGTGAATCAGTCAGTCAGTGAATCAGTGAGTCAGTCAGTGAATCAGTCAGTCAGTCAGTGAA